TAGTTTTACGGACAAAAAGTTTTGAAACTTGATCGTTGTCTTCAATCTTTACTCTTGTTGATAAGGACAAAATCATGTTATTTTTTCTCCACTCAAAGCTCGGAAGAGATGGTCCAGTAATATTACATGTTATCTTCAACAAGTCTCCGGCATATCCATTGTACTCTACGTCCATTTCAATATCTGTAAATTCTGAACGTAAACAGAAGATGGGAAAGTAGGTGGCTTTTACTAAGCACTATCGCGTGTAGCAGATGAATGGAAATTGGAAAATGAGTGATGGGGTATATAATTAGTTTTCTTTTACGTCAACAGGTATGAGGTTGATCACCATGTCCCATAACGCTTACAAAATCCACCCATTCCGATGTGCAGGTAAGTCCTTCATTGGTAGCTGTATACGAACCATACCCTAGGTTATCCAATATTCTCAAATTACCTGGTATATCAGCAGTAGTCAATGAATCAGACACGACAAAAATGTTACCAAGGACGCCAGTTGCATTAACTCTCTCCAAAACTTTAGTAATTTCGTCATGAGAATTTAGAACCAAAACCACTTCTGCACCGCAAATCACACTTCCAGATCTTTTCAGAATGGGGGGTACAATATTTTGGTTAGAAATTAGTTAGAACTGGAAACTTACCTAACTGTTTAAAAATTACCATATCAACACATGAAAGTAAATATATGCAACTATGAACTAACCTCAATCTAATAATATTGACACCACGATATTCGGGAACATTAGCAAATTCCTCATCAAACTAAAAATAAAGTGATATGGACTTAAGAAAAATGTATATGACAACATCGTTTAACTCTCTGAAGATTTAATCGCGTTCGATTTCTAAAGTATGCTCCTCTCTAAATGGAGGAATTCAAGGGTGCGAAACTCTCCAGAAAACCAGAACTGGCTTCCTCTTTCAGAAACAATGAATTAACGATGGCACAGGTCTTCGTTTGAAGAAACATCTTAACCAACAAGGGAATGGCACATACTAGCCTTTTCCCAAAAGAGATCACAGTTCATTCTTGGATCGTTTGAGGGACAAAATGCATGGAGACAGGCGTCAAATATGTGAAAGAGTAGAAGTATCTATACTACCAATTAAATATCAACTTTTTAGACGACCAAAAATCAGATATCTCCTTTTTTATCACATTAATTTAAATATGTGCTGCCATATTTCTTGTCCCTTCAACATGGGATTTGCGTAATTAGACCCAGGACTTTGGGAAATGGCTAATTGGACCACCTGGGGAGAACTGATAGAGCTATCCACTTTCAAGTTCATCACAATTGTGAAACTTACATTATTTTTTACTTCTCTAGAAAGCGTCTGATAATCTTCAGAGTTTGGATCGTGCAGTGAATTCGTAAATTCTCTATCCTTCAGTGTAAATGTCATGGAAATAAACGTGTCTGGCAGTCCTAAATAAAGAAAAGACGTAAAAGTATTGATGGTGAGCGAGTACGTAACGAAAATGTATAATACAGTGTAAAACTGTTACGTTCGCGGGCGAGAACGAACAAGCATGTATGTCTGCATCTTCATCATCTTTACCCTCGTTGCCCTCCTTGACCAGACACAGCGAGACGCGCTGGCCAAGGAGGCTTTCTCGTATTTGGAATATCCTTCTTCTAAGTCTTATGAACTTTGCGACGACAATAAATCCAACAATGTCAATTTATTGTTCTTGAACAACAACACTACAAATTACAATTTCTAAACTTTTCTCTCCTTTCTCTAATCCTTTTCTTAATCTTCTAGCTTAATCTTTCGATGCTTATATACTATTCGCAAGATATTAATGGAACATTACATATATACTATTTTTAGATACTACGTAAACGATGAATATAGCAAAAACATGACTCAGCATAGTGACGTAATGTCTTAATTAAGAATGTTCATGACGTGACTGACTTTGCGTCACAAAACTCATTAATAATTCACGAAGAAAAAAATAGAGATCATTAGCGTGAAGGAGTTTTTATATCTGATACAGAATCATAGTGATTTACATAAACTTTAAGTTTAATATTTCTATTGCGCGATTTTACATATGTATGTGATCAAGTGCGCATTACAATTACAGCCGGAACTGGCGTGAAGCAGAGCGAGGTAAACTGTGAGCTTACAAATGGCGCTTTAAGCAGCCGCTATTAGTCCATACCTCATTAATGATCTGCCCCCCAACCTATGTGACTAACCGACCCTGTCAACTTTCCCTGTGGAAGAGTACCCGGAGAAAACCCACGACTTTCGGCAGAGCGTTGACTTTTACTCTTTTCATATGGGGACTGGGTTCGAGTCACATTTGAGAAATTCTCATTGAGATTTGAACCTGCGACCTTAGAGGTGAAAGGCAAGTGCGCTAACCATTTCGTAATAAAGTCGTTATTTTTGTGAAATAATAACCATTTTTGTACAATACGGTCAATTTAGATCCAATTCGTTTGCGAATTTGCTTTAGAAAACGCCAGAAATGCAGTCCTGGAGCTTAAAAAAAGTAAACATTTTCTGGGGCCCCCACACATACACACATTTCTTCGCACATGCTTACATGACAGTGCAAATTAATAAAAAAAGCTCTATTATAATTTTTACACATCAGGTAAATTTTTAGCATTGATTTCAAATTGCGCATAAAATCCTCCGACACCTGCCCACCCCCCCAACTTCAGATGCTTCGCTACGTCCCTGCGAACATGACTTGTCACTTGGTCACAACAATTATGACAAAATGGAAACCAGGGTTTATGTGTCACATGCTCATATGCGCTGTTTCACTTACACAAATCTCCCTACAAGGAGGTGTCCACCTTACGAAAATATATACTTACTTGTACATTGCGAAGAAACACTATCATTAAAATTTCAGTGTTGCACGCGAACTAATTAGTTGAAATTAGTGCGGTTATTCATTATTGTATTCTTGTAAGCGAGACAGACAAAAAATTGAAAAGTTGAAAGATTAACACGAATGCGAAAACTCGAGAACACTGCATGGCAACAAATACATGGAAAGACATGTAGTTTCCGTAAAAATGTACATGCTTTTTTCATAAATATGGTAGCAGAAAATCATTGAAACAAAACGTTGATATAGCCTATACTATAGGCCTGGCGTTTCGGCTTTGAAAGAAGAAAGAAGCAAGAGTATCAGAAGAGGTATTATGATATTGGATCACAAGCTTTACCACCATTGAAAGAAGGAGAAAGAATCCGATTACAAGTGCGTGATTCGAAATTGTAAATTCCGAGATCGTACAACCTTAGAACTCCAAATGGACAGGAGTTTAGAAGAAATCGAGTTCATATCAAAAAACAAAGCGATCCATTGAAGAAATTGCTTTTGATTGAAGATGGAATGGTTTCTTCGGTAGCCACGATGAGCACTGAGACAACCATGCATGATACAGCAGTGCAGAGCGAGATGTAAAAGCAGAGTAGTCAAGAGTATACATATAACAAGAAGTGGTCGAATGAGCAAACGACCAGAACGGTTGCAAGCAGGAACTTAAAACATTGAGAAGTAAACATTTAGAAGTAAAATTTAGAAGGACACAAAGAAAGACTTTATTTTATCATTAAATTTACTTATAATACTTTAAATACCAAACTATTATAAAAAATTAAATAACAAAAATGAAGAGAAATTACAAATTCAGTATTGTTTATAATATATTCCCCAATCCGGCAGCGCGAAGCGCCGTTCGAGGGTACTAATTCCGCACGGCTAATTATACCCGGGTATGTGAAAACATAGCGAAGTGCAAAGTTGTCCTCCATTTTGTTTATGTCATGGACGGTTTTTTGGATTGTGCTCGACCAGTGCCGAAAAAGTTTTTCAGGAACAAATTAATTTTGGCGACCTCCCCCCCGTCGCCAAAAAAATTTCGGGCAGTGTACCATTTTAGGGATCCAAAAATTTTTCGGACATACCAAATTTTTTCGGAACATCATACAAATTTTCCAGACATCACAAAATTGACAGAATTTCCCACAAAATTTACAGAATTTGTCCCATTTATTTTTATAATAAGCCAATATTCGCCAATCAAATAGTCGCCAATCTTTCACTGCAATAGGTATTTCTGAAACCTGGTTGAATGATACTACATCAGACAGAGTTAATCTCCCTGGATATAACTTTTTGTCCTGTCATAGAACTGCGAGGTCCGGCGGTGGGGTGGGTTTGTACTTGCGGAATGATCTTGAATACCGAATATGCTCGGAGTGTAACTTTTCAGATCCAAATATGATTGAGTCGTTGTTTGTTGAAATATTCGTACCAAATAGCAAGAACTTTGTAGTTGGTGCAGTTTATCGATCACCAAACCAAAATTTATCTTTATTTTTGGATAAGTTTAATGAAATTCTTTCTACCATTTCAAAAAACAACAAGCACTGTTACATAATGGGATATTATAACATAGATATGTACTGCTTAAATGCGCATTTCGAAACTAATGAATTTGTCGAAAATCTGTTTTCCCATATGTACTTGCCTTTAATAAGTCTGCCGACGCGCATCACAGCACATTCGGCAACGCTTATTGACAATATTTTTACCAACCATTTGACACAAAATTTATTCAGTGGAATTATTATTAATGACCTGTCAGATCATTTACCCGTCTTTGTTTATGTCTTTACAGAAACTCTTCCCCCTCGCAAAAGTGCTGAAAAGACCATATTTAGGGACTTTAGCGATAGCAATATTACCAAATTTCGTTCACATCTTACTAATGTCAATTGGGAAAATCTCCCTAATCAAGACGCTGACAGTGCTTTCGATGCTTTTCAGTATGAATTTTCTAGATTATATGATCTTAGCTTTCCTTCTAAATCAGTCAGAGCAAAAAACTCGAACAAACCATTAACACCTTGGATGACAAGAGGGCTATTAACCTGTGTTAGGAAAAGAATAAACTCTATAAAAAGTTCATTATTTCACAAAGTCCTGTCAAATTTGATTAAGATTGCTAAGAAAACATATTATGAGAATAAATTTGAAACTGCAAAAAACGATCACAAAACAACTTGGAAGCTAATAAACGAAGTAATTAATAAACTTAGAACAAAAACCTCACTGCCATCCTCATTTATATCAAATAACACCCTTCTCTCTGATCCTAAAGACATTGCTAACAGGTTTTGCAAATATTTCGCTAACATTGGCCCTGATCTTGCAAGTAAGATTCCTGACACTTCAAACTCTTTTCTTTCTTTCCTAAATTCAAATAGCGAAGAATCTATTTCACTTCATCCAACAAATGTAATTGAGCTTTTAGAAATCTGTAATTCTTTTAAAACAGCTAAAGCTCCTGGTTATGATAATCTATCCATGTATGTAATCAAAAAATCTATTGACCTAATAGTACAACCTCTTGTTAATATTATAAATCTCTCTTTATCCAAAGGGGTCTTTCCAAGTAAACTAAAGATCGCTAAAATTATACCAATTTTTAAAACTGGAAATCAAAGTTTTTTTACAAACTATAGACCTATATCACTCCTGACAAACTTTTCAAAGTTATTTGAAAAAGTTATGCAAATCAGGTTAACATCATTCATTGAGCAATGTGAAATTTTGTATAGATTTCAGTTTGGTTTTCGCAGTAACCACTCTACTATGCATTCACTTGTTTCTCTAATAAATAACGTTGCCACGGCCATTGATCAGAACCAGATAGCTGCTGGAGTGTTCATTGATCTTTCAAAGGCTTTTGATACTTTAGATCATGAAATATTATTTACTAAATTACAACATTATGGTATAAGAGGCGCTCCAATGGATCAAGAGCTATTTCTGCAATCGTGAACAATTTGTTCAATATAATGAAACCTGTTCCTCCATGGAAAAATTAAAATGTGGAGTTCCGCAAGGTTCTATTTTAGGCCCATTATTTTTTATTTTATATATCAATGATCTACCGAATGCATTAGAACTGTCAAAATCTTATCTTTTTGCTGATGACACTAGTATATATTATTTAAATTCGGATATCAAGCAACTTGAATTTGTTTTGAACAGTGAACTTCGAAAGCTGGATATCTGGATGAAGTCAAATAAATTGTCTGTGAACATCAGTAAAACAAACTATATCATTTTTCGGCCGAGACAAAAGAAAATTAAATTTAAATCTAGTTATCCAATATAACAATCAAATGATCACCCAAAAACAATACATAAAATTTTTAGGAGTATATATAGACGAACATTTGTCATGGAAGGAACATATTAATTATATTTGCAATAAAATCGCCAAGTCTGTTGGAATTATTTACCGATCACGATATCTACTGTCATCCGCAACAAGATTATCCTTGTACTACACACTTATATATCCCTATCTTACTTATTGTAATATTGTATGGTCTCCACTTATGTAACCAACCTCAATAGAATTCTCCTTTTACAAAAACGAGCTGCACGTATTCTTACAAATTCCGAATACCGTGCACACTCTGATCCACTTTTTAAACAACTCAAAATATTGGATATATTTAAGCTAAATACATTTCACATTGGGAAGTTTATGTTTTTATATCATCATTGCATGTTGCCAACATGCTTTGATAATCTGTTTACAATAAACAATCAAATACATGGTTATAACACCAGATCTGCCGGTAACTATAGATCTCATGCTTGTCGAACTAATATTAAGCAACAATATGAAATTGGTCGAAGACCCGTACTCAGGAAATAAAATAACAACATAAAACGCTCACTGAGTTTCCAGCGATATACATACCCTTTTCTAGATATATACCTAATAATAATAAACGAACGAACGAATGTATTCCTTCCACTCGTGAGCTCATTTACCATTGTCACATATAGTAAATGTCCAGGCCTTGTGACCCTGGATGGGCACTTAAAAGGAAAGAATACACACACACAAACTGCGCATGAACAAACGTTCAAAGTGAATGCCTCTTGTTAGCCACCTACAAAATTATTATTAGCATAACAATATCTCTCACAACACTCTCATTTCCTTGTCGTCATATCATAACAAACCATATCAGGAAATATGAATATCAATTACAAACCTTTAGTCAAATCCATGACCTTCAGGAATACTTACCTACAACTGTAGGATTTAAGTGCAAAGCACCAAAAAATAACAATATGAGGCATTCACTTTGAACGTTCGTTCATGCGCAGTTTGTGTGTGTGTGTTCTTTCCTTTTAAGTGCCCATCCAGGGTCACAAGGCCTGGACATTTACTATATGTGACAATGGTAAATGAACTCACGAGTGGAAGGAATACATTCGTTCGTTTATTATTATTAGGTATATATCTAGAAAAGGGTATGTATATCGCTGGAAACTCAGTGAGCGTTTTATGTTGTTATAATATTAAGCAGTTCACCATCTTATACTCAGGACCGAATATTTGGAATTCTTTACCTACAAATATAACTGCGATAAACACAATCTCGTCTTTCAAGATGCAACTTCGTAATTTTCTGCTTAACGAATAAGGAACAGCTAACTCTGATATGCTACGACCATGTTTATCGAATATTCAGTAACAATATATAAAATTATTGGAAAATCTATTATATATCTTCGTAAATTTTCTCTCTTATTATAAACTTCATTATGTTTCAATTTCATTATATGTGTCTGTAACTTAATTTCAATTTCATATTATATATGTCTGTAACCCTAAATTATACCGATTAATTAAATATTTAACTTTGAATTTTTGAGATGACGTGGCCTCTTTACACAAGCTCTAAGCTTCTTGAGGTCTCCTTGCCGACTTTATTTTATTAATATCTTGTAAATAGCTAACAGTCTTTCTTTTTTTTGGGGGGGGGGGAAATAAACCAATAATAATAATATTGCCCGACAGTGGAGCGAATATTGCCCGACTGTCTTTGTTTGCCCAACAAACTGGGGGGCTGCCTAAAAGGATATAATGAAGAAGGTGTGGTGTTTTTAAATTTTGTATTTTTCTGCTCCTTTTACCATAATTTACTTGAAAAATGTGTTTTAAACACAGATTTTAACTTTTTTTACAATAATTTTATTTATATTAGTGAAAAATGCAAGACACATATTATAGGTAGAGAATATAGGAATCGTGACATGTTTTGACTCCAGTAAAATCTTCTCAGTTTAAGATTGCACGTACGAGGTCTTATCCCATACCTGTGTTAAAAGCGGCTTTCTGATTGGTTTAGAGCAGGTGAGCTTGTCGTCGAGCTCACCTGCTTTTTGCCGAACTCACCTGCTTTTCGCCCGAACTCACCCGCTAAACTGCTTACGTTGCAATAACAATAACAAATATGGCGGACAAGATTTAGCCGATAAACCTAAACTTTAAAGAACTTTTTTCGGTGACTAACATACTGAAACTGAAGAAAAACCAAAGAAAAAATGCAGTAAAGGTAATGTAGACGTAGATAAAGAAGTATTTTCTTACCCAGTGATTTTTTTGGCTGGGAAAATGTTCACAAAACATCGACGAATATATCGCGAAGAGCTACAAATGTGTGTATGGCTCGGTGTATGGGATAAAAACCAAACGTACTTGCAGGTTCGGTGAGTCCGGGATTGGACGCACCTCGGGTGGCTGGAAGTTTCCCGAACCCACCTCGCTTCGCTCGGTAAGTTCGGGAAACTTCCAGCCACCCTCGGTGCGTCCAATCCCGGACTCACCTCCCTGCAAGTACGTTTGTTATAAAGCGGAAAAAATTTCGTTTAAAATATATCTTTATGCCTGTCATTTATTTATTGCCTTTAAGTGGCCGAATACATGAGTATTTAAAACAAAAATATAGTTTTCTTGGCGTACGTTTTATCCATGTCAAATAACTTTCTGACTTTCAGGTCTTTCAGTCGCATTTCTCTCAAAATATTGTCAATTCTGGTGTAAATCGTGCTCAGTATGAAGTCTTTAGGGCTTGACCCAATTGACTATCGTATTCTAACTATCGTTAGGGTGCGTTTTTCAAATTTTTTGGGCCGATTTTTTAGTTCAAAAATTGTGTCACTTTTTGGTTTCTGGCGGGAAAACCAGAGCGAGCAGTTGCGTTTCACAGCGGGTCGGATACAAGAAACTTGCCAGCTCTTAAATGTTCCTCAGCCAATAAGATTGCTTCGTGATAAAAAGTAAGGTAAAATATTTTAAATTAGACACAAGAATAAATTATTTAGCTACTTCACTGTCACAATTAAGTCCATTCCCAAAATA